AGGTTAATAACATACAACATCAATTTATATATCCTTTACTTTTGAATGAATGTATTGAAGAGATGTTGATATTGCTATTGAATTGTAGTAACATTGTGGCCCACTTTTGCGACTCTCAGATCAAATTTCAAAAAGTCGATTGTCACACTTCACAAGAAAGTCAATTGCTTGACTCAATATTTGAGGATCAGGTAAGTTGAGCATCAATTTCTTTACTTCATATTGTAATCCATAGAAAAATTGGCTAATAAGTGCAGCATCATCCTTTGATATCAGTTGCAAGTTGTTCAAATTATGGAGCATATAATGTTATAGATCGATTGCCTTGTTGCAAAATATGAATCTTGTTGGTTGCTACATAATTTGCATTATGTTCTCTATACATGGATGAAAATTTTACCAAAAATACCTCCAGATTATCTAATATTGAATGTCATTGTTCAAGAAAAGATGAAAACCATGATAATGCTGAACCTGAAAGAAGTGTACCAATGAATCTAACTTGTGATCCTGGAATTGGATAGCTTTGAGGTTGAATTCAATCATAAGTTGTATTTCATTGATAAATCCTCAAAATTTGGATCTTATACTATCAAACTTCTCGGACAGGACAACTCTTGGTTCTCTAATACTTGAAGGATGTTCCATCGTGGGTAGAGGGACATGATTTGGTGCAGATGTTGAAGCAACTTTAATCATCTCTATATCCTCACTTCCTACCATTCTTATTGATCCTTGTGGTGGTAAATTAAGTTAATGCATTGCAAGCATCAACTTCTTCAATTGTTCTTGCATTTGTGCCATTGCACTCTTCATTTTAATAAGCTCTGCTGTAATAATACTCAAAAAAGAAAATCTAATGCCACTTAAGATAAGTAGAAGAAAGGACTTGAGGACAAAGAAAATACTAAGAATAATATCAGTTTAGAAGAGAATAATCTGCAACTTCTCATGTGCTTATGTCTTATCATAAGAAAGGAATAACCCACTCTTAATCAAGATAAGACAAAGCTCTGATATTGTAAGTATAATCTTATCAATCTATCAAAGATATGAACTAGAAGATGATGCATAAACCAATGAAATCTGTATCAAAGAAAAAATGACAAAATAGAAATAAAGAAGTATATATATTAATAAGGGACTAGAATGGCTTATTGCCAAAAGACAAGAAAACTTGAAACTCTGGAATCTAGACTAGAAGCAAGGAAAGAGTTGACAAGAGTGAAGAGGGCTTCACTCTTCTCTCTATATATAATATTTAATTAGGGACTAGTGGCGATGTTCCATAGGACCTCTATTATGTGTTGACTTTGTAGGACACATGCCTTCACTTACAAGGTAAGTTTTTTTACGTGTGGGTCACATAGTTAGCTTGTTCATCAAGCTAACAACATGTGTGGCAAATGGCCAACTTGTTGATCATGTTTCTAATCCAAAAAGGCAATTATAGACACCTATAAAATCAAAGCAGCATCTATGAAGCTTCTAGGAAGCTTTTATAGAAGATATTATATAATTAACTTACTTTTACCTACTTTTACTTGCTTCTACTTATTAATATAAATAATTATTGGCTTACATGTGTATGTCTGTGAAAAGTTGTCACCTCTAAACTTATCAATTATTTCAAACCCTCACCCTTATTTGAAGCCATGTTTAAAAAAATGGTGTATTAAAAAAAAATGAAAAAAAAAAAAAAAAAAAAAAAATAGCTCTCAAAATCAATAAGAAGGTTTTGCTATCTTAAAAATCTTGAATGTCATCTTTGTGAGTGAACTAGTAATATCATTCTTTAAACATTCTCAACTTCACTTATAGGACTTCTCATAAGTCTTATATTCTATCTAAACCTCTTATATAAGCTTTGCCACTCGTCAATCACCTCTTTTCTTTCATAAAATACTTGTAATCTCACAAAATACTTATAACTTCTCAAAATACTTTTTATTAGTGTAAGAAGATCTCAAGAAAATTTTACTGTATAAAATCATAATGTTAATTATAAATGATGTAAATCAATAAATAAAGACAATACTAGTATTTTAAAACATTATTTTAATATATCTAACAACCTCCAAGATTATCAATATACTTAATAACTAGTGAGAGCAATACTACATCAACAACTACATACAACAATGAAATTAGATGATACCAAATCCTAACATCAGCAACAACCAAAAGATCTACTTCTCACAATAAGTAAGACTTCAAAGAACTTCAAAACTCACAACTAAAGATGAATGGGCCCATGACCTATTGAAGAATAAGCACTACAAAGTCACAACACTTAGCATCAACAAGGTTACATACAAAGAGAGTATGGAGTAAGATATTTCTTATTTCCAATATCTAATACTTGTAGGTGGTGGTTGCTCCCCTAAAAGATAGCTTCCACTCTTTGACTTTTATACACATGGTTCTAGGCTCCTTTGGCATCTTATTAACCACGAAGATATCCTATGCCAAATACTACTTACTTTTATCTAATCTTTGGATATTCCCTAGTTCATACTTTATCCTCTTGACTTTGATTCTTGGTCCTTAATCTCATCCTATATCCGTAGGATACTCTTTTTAACCACCAAAAATCAATCTTTTGACCATTAATAACTTATCTAAGATAATATCTTCTACAAAGTAACTTATTTTACTTTCACTTTTATTTACTTACTTTAATGAAAGGGACATAGTGAGCACTATAAGATTTGCTATAGTGTGGAGCAAGCAAAATGGCAAGGTGGATAGGAGAAATCTTCATCAAAAAGCCAAGGTTTTAGTTGAGAGAACAAAACTTGGTATGGACATGTAAGGTGGGTTCATGTAAGGATTGCAAAGGAAACTGGCTTACATGGTGCAATTGCGGTGATTTTTGGGAGTTTTTGCATCCCTTCAAAAGATCACAAACAAGATGATTAATGGATTTTGAAGCTTGTCCTTTCAGTTACAATTATGCTGATATTATTCGTTGTAGTTGTAGGAGTGGTGGGTTACTAATGTTATAATTTTGGATGCAAAGTGATCCAAGTGGGTTTAAATATCCTCATGAAATGTATTGGACCATGTGTGTATTTGTAAACAACTATTTGTGCTGTCAGTTTAAATGGTTTAATCTCATGAGATCCTCTGTGACAACTAAGTAGTGGTAATCGTGTTGGGGACTGTGCAGCAGAACTCTACCATCCAAGCTGCTTGGAGGAATCCAAGTCAGCTTTTGGTCAAGAAAATACCACACACACGCACAAATATATATATATATATATATATATAAATATATATAAGCATATATTGTTAGTTAGTGGCATTGATGCGCTTAAGATATGCTTTTTCTTATGTACAATTGCCGAATTCTGATAACTCAGAGGCTGACAAGGTGAAGACCTAGGTATCGGCTTTGAAAATCACTTGTCTCTTCCAATTGGACGACAGAACATACTACATGGGAGTTGATGCACTTAGCATAAAAAAGGAAAAAAGACGAAGAAGATACTTCACTCTTTCAGTCATTGATTCTCTCGAATCTGTTAAAAGAAAAAAATTAAAGAAGCATGAGAAGAAACGATTGTTAGGATTCAAGCAAGGCCCAGAAGCGTCCCCACCTTGAAGAGCTAAGCGGAACCCATTTCGCAGCTGACTCACTTTCCCATTATTAAAAAGCTGCGTTGGACGAAAGTTTCCAGGATATTAACGATATTTTTTTAGTTTTCACGCAAGCCTTCCCTTTTTTTCCCCCCGGAAGATTACGTGCAGATGCCATGAGTGAGTAGCTCTGCCCTCATTCACCTGTTTAAGTGACAAAAAAAATAAAAATAAAATCCCCATATCCTTTTCCAGCACTTTTGTATGAGAGAAACTGATGCGCCACTACACAAAAGACATACAGATCAGGAACCGGAACTTTCCTTCTGAGGTTCCTCCCAAAAGCAGGCTCCGTTGTTGCGCGCTGTTCCGTCAGATCGACAGTCCACTGCGGTCTAAAAGACGATACGTCTCGTTCGCTACGATTTCCATAACGCTTCGATCAGTAACTCACAATCCATCCATCTGACTTGCAGCGCAATCGTTCAATTTTCCTCATCACCGTCAGACCTGGATCGGAATGGTATGCTAACATATTGCTATCATTAATGGGACCATCATAGCAAGTCAGACTTTAATGGCCGCTACGAAGCGCAGGACCCTAAGAGAAACTGCAAAATCCACAATCAAGCGGTGCAAAGAGGAGAATAAAAAACACAACCCTCCACTGCAGTCAGTCAGACGCGAAAGGCTGAGATCTTACGGCAGCTTAACGCCATCAACGCATGCGTTACCCTGACATGACAACAACGCGAGGTGAAATTGGACACAGTGAGAAACCAAAACCAGAAAGCGCCGATTGAAGGACTAAGGTTTTGCGACGGAGCCTCAAGGCCGAAGCCATAAACAAGGTGTCAATTAGGGTACCAGGTAGGCGGGTATCATAGGGCGGGTACCTGAAAAGAACCGACGAGCTTGTCAGTGACGCACCCCGCCTCATGGCTTTCGAGGCTCATGAATTGTGTGAGAGTGGTTCGGGGACGGACGGACTAATTAATGAATGAATAAATGAATGAATGAAACCTAACGAGATGAATGAATCCCATTTAAAATATAAACGAATGATAATTCCCACGTAGATGAATGCACATCGTGTTGAAGGACTGAATTTACTTGAAAATGCTCTTTCAAAGCTCAAGTCATATTCCTGTTTAATTATCCTACGCCAGTTAACGATAGTCGCATTATGACGTGACTCGGATAGCTTTTTTTTTTTTTTTTTTTTTTCAAACTTTTTGGGGAATGATGAAGAATCATTCGTCGGAGGTTGACGATGCTCGTGCCCCACCGCATTCATCCATAGAATGGATGCATAAATCTCATCGACATTTATCGTCCTCCTGGCTGGGCAGGACTGGGTCCGATCCGTACTGCCCGAAGCTGACAAAGCCGAGGAGGCGACGAGGCCAAGGGAGGGGAGGGAGGCGTCGTGAGGTTTGCTTGGGATTGAAGGGCTTGGCGAAGAACGAGACTCATCGCTCGGATGATGACGGAAGCGATGGAGAGGGTTTGCGGGGTTGCGGGCCATAGACGATGACGGGAAATGCTGTGCTGCTGCATTTGTGTCTCCTCTGTACCTGCTTTCGCTCACGTCTCCTCTTGCCACACCTCATGCGCACTTCATTGGAAAAAGCAGTTCTCTTGCTCATTCCTCCCTTGCTTGCCTCCAGCCATAAAACTGAGGGCAGGGCTTCGACGGGTTTGGAGGCTCGGTGGGAGTGTTAGCTTGGTTGAAATTGGAGTTGTTGTAGGTGTCATTTGACGAGGGAGTGGTTAAGGACGAGGAAGAAGAGAGGGAGAGCGAGCGAGCGAGCGAGAGAGAGAGAGAGAGAGAGAGAGAGAGAGAGAGTTAGGGTGTTGTTGTGTGAAGGGTGATTAGTTAGGGTAAGTTGTTGGAGGAGAGTAGAATGAGCTTTGAGAATTGAGCGTGTTAACGATGACGGTTGATTGGAAGGCCGGGATGGGAAGGAAGGAGAAGTTCGGGGCGGTGAGGAGGATGGACGACGGATAAGGGAGAGTGGTTGTGTAGGTAGAAGAGTAAGGAGAAGGAACAGTTGACGAAGGTTGGAGGAGGTTTTGAAGGTGAAGGTGGACTTATTCGATCTATCAAGAGTTGAGTTCGACTTTTGTTATGGACCCAGCGTTATGGGGGAACCTACCGGATCATGTCCTCGACCACGTCCTGGTCCAGTTGCCGCTACCAGTGCTTAGTCGATTCAGGTGTGTTTGCAGACGCTTCTACTCTCTTTCCGCATCGCGAAGCTTCTTGAAGTCGTACCCGGTGAGCTTGAGCCCTGTGTCGTTCCCACAGCCATGGCTGGTGCACACCTATGCTGCTGCCTCTAATGCGTACAATCCGGCCGCCAACAATTGGTTCGAACTCTCGCCGTACTTCATACCGGACCCATGGTTCTCTAACGTGATGGCCTCCATGAGCGGGCTTGTGCTACTCTCCCCCCTCGCCAAGGGAGCTTGCCGCCCCGTGAGGATTGTAGTCTTCAACCCTTACACAGGATTTGAGAAGCGGTTGCCGCCGATCGGTCATCCCTCTGCGGCGCAAATGCTTGTCGATCCTAGTGGAGATAACTACCAAATCTTCGCTATATGTGAGGATCCGGACTCGGAGGAAGAACGCGAGCGATGGTTGCTGCACCGATATACCTCATCAAGCAACGGCTGGGGGGTCTTGTCCTCACAGCTTCCCATTGGAATTTTCCCCGGTAGCGCTACAATCGACGTCTGTAATGGCATTGTCTATTGCACAGTGGGCTACCGAACACCACAATTTGGAATCTGGGCGTTCGACATGGCGGAGAGAAGATGGTCACGAGTGAGACTTCCCTTCCTGCCTTCCTATGCTCGGTGTCAGCTCGTCTCATGCGGCAAGCGACTCATGCTCATCACGAGAATGAAAGGTGAGGCATCCACGAACGCAGCGGCTGTGATCCATATTTGGCAGTTCGACCATGCCCTTAAAGATTGGATGACCACCCTTGAACTTCCAGATGAAATGGCAGTGCAGAACGACAATTGCCGAGGAAGCTTTTCTTGCTGTGCACAGGGGGATTTACTTTACATTATCTCCGGAGCAACGCGTGAGATCAACGTTACGGTGTTCAATTTGGCCACAAAGAATGTGCAATACGCCCCGCCCCTCGTTGCTGCTGTGAACTCCAGCAAAACTTTTCCTTTCTATCCCAGGCTATCAACTCTTGTTTGATGAGCTTGCTGCAGAGGATGCTTGGAGTCAATTTTCTGGAGTTCTTGCTGAGGTGATTTCCTTGAACGGGAATCGGAATAAATTTCAGTTTCGGCTGTGGAAGGTTCGTACTGATTGGTGGAAGACTTAGCTGTCGTATATTTTACATAAGCCTGAGTGAGGCTTGTCCTGCAGGAGGGCTAAGTATGGTTGTATCTGTTGTGCGAAGCATGTCTGTTGCGTATCACCAATGGCATGGCTTTGGAGGATTGTGTACTTCTTTTGAAGTCGTACTCGGGTATAATAAAGTTTTCATTTACGACGAAGTTGCTGTAAAGTGAGAATTGTTCTCATGAGAAGTTGGCGTGCTTTGTGAGTATGTCGATATATTGATTGTGGATTCTCAATGACGGAAAGTAGGGTGTTGTTGGTGTCACAACTTCAATGTCATCAAAAGAAGTCTTGCTGTCGTTGTCTTGTCTCTTTGAACAGCAGCATTAGTTATACAGAATTGCCTTTATTGATGATTAAGTTCCTGTCAAACCTTGACTGCTTCAAGGCTAATCGCATTGTTAATTTTGGACATAAACCCTTTTTGATGAGAAGGATGAGGACGTCGTTTCAAAACTGAAGAGTAAGCGAGGAGAACTCTCCCAAGTCACGTTTTTCAACACTAGTAGAGAACATGGTACCCATTGACGGTCATGGAGGACACCCCCTTCGCTCGGACCTGGGTCTCGATGGAAGCAGCTCACAGACCCCAAGTATTGCTTCATAGACTTTTATCAACCTTCATCCAGCTGGAAGTCAGGGATGTCCCGATTAGTCGCCAATCAAACGTGCGTAAACTACGACTTGGATCAAGACAGTTAAAATAATCCAACAGTAGAGATCACTCGAGGTTTCCAATTAAGCGATTGGCACAAATACTCTTACAATTATATTAAATCGTTTTTTATCAGACATCTGGGGAAGCGAGAAGAATAGTACACGCCGATATAAACAAATTTCTACAAGACATCTGTTCACGCATACAGGAGTGCAGAAATGGTACGAATCAACTATAAAAAAAGTCACGAATATTATCATACATTCTCCAGGACACAGGATAGTGTAGAGAATCGCTGTACGTTACAAAGTCGTAAGACACTGAGTTCGACAAACAAGTCGCTATTTTCGGCAAGCCCATTATGTGTTCAATATAAAAACATTCCTACACTAATAGCTTGTTGTGTGAAACACTGCTTTTGTACCAAACAACTATCACCACCGATTATCCACAACATCAGGCACTACGGTCTGTCTCTGCACATCTAATTCATTTGTCACTTTACGCACTCTCTAAACACAATAAATATTTACGCAAGCATTCTCCCCCAAAAGTATTCTCCATAATACCAGTATACATCGATGAGTACCACTGGATTGAACACTTGCTACAATTCAACTCATCATTACGGCAACCCCAAAAACAGTGTCGCTATAGTTCCAAGCCCCTCTTGTGATGCACTTTTCAAGTTAGATTGGGCATGGATTTGGTCTCAGCATCACAGATAGAGATAGAACCAAGTAAAAAGGTTCTCTAGCAACCAGGACCATCTTAACAGTCTGGTATATATTGACGTGCAATCCGTCTGTTTGAAAGCTTTGGTGTTGCTCTGGATCTACTCAAAATGGAATAACAGTATACAATTGCTTGATCGAAGTTAGGTGGACTCAATATGCTCAGGTGCACATCATGAATATTGGTAATAACTCAAGGTTCGTCTCTATGAAGGTTTCAAACTCCTCCCAGCTTATAACTCCGTCATTGTCTAGGTCAAGCCGCTTAAACCACATCTTCACCTGCGTTGCTCAAGGATATAAGCTTTCTGTAAAACATTAATCTTTTCACAACTTGTAAGCAGGAACAAAGATTTAGCGGAGACCATGGCGTTGCCTACAAAGTAAACATTCTATGGCTTTGAGATGGGAACATTTCATCCATAAAGTCTGACGATGACAATCCATAAGCTTCTGAATTACCTTGGCATTGTTGATTGACGGCATACTCAACTTTAAGCAGTTCTCCAACTGCAAAATATATCATACCAGAATATGACAGCATTAGAAAATGTGTGGATTCAAGGAAGAAGACCTCAAAAAAGATTCAATTTCAAATAGATCCTCCATAAATCTCAAACATCACGATTCCTTCTCATAAACCTGGCTGATGTGGTTAGCCTCTCCAGATGCAAGGGACAATTGTTCAAACCAAAGAGTTACTATTTAAAGATAGCCTCCCAATGATGGTTAATAATGTATCAATCTGGGGTTGCCTTTCATCACAAATCAGCTTTCCAATACTGTCTAATGTCTACTTTGACCATGTACTTCGATCAAAAGAAAATACTTAAAAGTCGAGGAAATATCGGGACAGAAGTACCTCAATAGGTGAGATACGACCATCGCCTTGAAGGTTGCATGCACTGTAAGCTGCTCGCATATGACTTCTTAACTCCTGGGTTTTAAGAAATGACCCTGATGCAACCACAAACTGAACAGGTTGACAAACAACAGTGTCCCATTAATGACAAGGATGGTCTCATTAAGAGATGCGGATATTCCTTCACAGCAACAGGACTAAAAGAAAAATACACAGAATCTTATTACTAAGACAGTTGAAATAAAAAGCGTCCAAGAGAGACCGAGTATGTGTGTCTGCTCAGTCTATGCGTGTGTTAAAAAAAGAGAGACAGGGAGAGAGAGAGAACCTCTCTGAAGGTGATAAAGCCTTGTCTCGATTTATCAAAAAGATCAAATATCTGCTCAAACAATTATCACGTTAACAGTTGACAGTTGGGTATGCAGGTGAACCCATATGCTGGTGTCATTTGATGCAGTAATTAAAATTGTTCCAAGTAGTAACACTGCAGAAGCCCAAGGCCAATAGAGATGCGCAACAAACTAATATTGAGGATTAAAAGAAAGCCAAAGTTTTTTTAGAATATGGATTGCCCATCCTCACACCAAATCTGAGATTACCTTCCTCGAAATCCAACATTTCGGCAAATGATGCCATTCGAGAAACTGGTTCACGCTGACGGTGCCACTGTTATCAAAACGATGAAAGATTAGAATTCTGGGGAACCTTACGGGCACAAGAATTATCACTAACTGACTCTTTGAATGCATCATCAGTACCATATATATAATCTACACCAAAAAATAAAAATAAAAATGAAAATGAAAAGCTTATTTACCAACAAGATGGGCCCATTGCGGCAAACTTCTCCAGAAATTTCTTCACATCTCCTGTCCTCAACCCAAGTGCCTGCCAACCACAAGCAATAACTCGTTGCTACATTGCCTTTGAAACGCCATCAACATCACATACCATTTAACTAACTTGTCGCTGCTTGAAATAGATATATCTCAGCAAATATAGCCAATTCAATGAAAAGGAAATAACCGGAATCCAAAAGATTTACCTTCTCCACTTTCCCCATTTCCACCATGTAATTCGCTGGGAAACGCTGTGCACATCCACGGTTGTAGTGTTCATTTGTGAATCTACATATATGTATTCGTCATGGTAGCAGTTCGAAATGATAAGGAGAAAAGGGAAAAGAAAAGAACCACAAGCCTGAGGCAGCATTATGCTCAGGGTAGAGCACAGTATGGCCATTTACCAAGAAAAGCCGTTGGGCGTTCACAGACAACATCAGATCACCATGCGTATGCTCCGTCACTGGCACGCACAGAGCCCGTGCCATTTCATACCTAACCTGCACATTTAGAACCATTGCACCCTCACCTTCAGTTTGGATCAAAACGTTATAATTTCAACCAAAACCAGTCAGGACAACTATTGTGTCCTACAGCTTCAAATGCAAAATGCATAATGTAATATGAAAGAAAAAGGACAGAAATGCACCCGGTCGGCAAACTCCGACGGGTTTTCGACCTCCCACGCAGATGGATAAATAACTGGTAAATACTGAACCTGCCCAAAAATTGTATCATTCCAGATTCAGCAATCTCACAATGAGAACGAAGACTTGGAAACCTGAAAAGTATGAACATTCCAAAGGTAACGGTCCAAGATTCCAGTTCACCTCCATGAAGTTGTTGAACTGCGTGAACATCCGAAACACTAAATTGGTCAATGAAATGTCACCCCTGCAAATACATACCAGGAGTGCCTTAGGACAATGAGTACACGCATAAAAATGAACTCATGCAGCACAACCGAATGCAATGAACTCGACTTCACGAAGAGAGATGGCCATACCAGGAAATATCGAAGTGAACAAAGGGGTAGCGAATAACTACTGGTTGAATTGGAAATCCAGGAACAAATGCGCCCGGCTTAAATGAAATCAGTGACCTCCCATTCGTTGTTGTGCCCTCGGGAAACAACAATACAGACGGAAACTCCATGCTAGCCGCTCTCCTCTGCCACAAAATTCTGTCAGCAGAAGTAAAAGCATCACTTTCTTGAGAGCGAGGCAACCTGCTCTACACTCAGGATAGCCATGGATTGCAATACGCATCAATCCGCAAGTAATCGGTTTCATGCGCTTCTAAAATGAAGTATTCTTACTAGAGAGCAATTAACAAAATTGACCTTGAACGACAGAAATGGGATAGGGTTTAGGGCTTAAGGTCGTAAAACAATACTTTGATTTCAGCTGTTGCAGACTTTCTCGATTCAGCAGACGTTCTGTCGACAGCAATAACCTACAATGCACACACAACCGTAGTGATGCAGCTAATGACGATGATTAGAGAAGTAGACTTTGGAACAAAGAAAGCAACAGGAGAAATTGCTGATCAACACGGGAAGGCAGAGAGACGGCCTTACTACCTGCATTGAACGGATGATGGTCCCCGCCATAAACAGACTGTCGTGCGACTTGGAGCTCACGATACTAGGAAAAAGCTCATAAAAGTAAAATATGGGATCGATGAACGACACATGGTTGGAAACCACGATTGGAGCAACCTCCTTGGGCGCAGGCCGCCCGATACGCCGAATCCATTGAAACCTGACACAAGTGCGAATCGAGGAAGAGAAAATTGAGCTGAAAAGCAAGCTCACTCTCAAAATTTGCTTTCTTCAAGACGATGATCGAAACCAACTGCCCACATTCAATGTTACGAAGACTTCATAGCGACTCCCCTTTCAGCAGCATCACCTTCGCTACGTGCTTACGATTCCCACCATTGAGAACTACTGACCTAATCTGACGTGTTCTACATCTCCACGCAGGTTAGGCAAAAAAAATCTCTGAGAATTCTTGTAATTCAACTTTTCATTGTCCCGTCACATCATTCCCGTTACAAAGATCACTCGCCATTGCATAACGGTCTTCACTTAGGTTGTGGGGAAAGTAGAATGGTTTAGGGTCGCTGACCCACCCATAGCAGAACAGAATTCCACGACCACAAAGTCGTGTTACAGACATGAGCTTGCGACGCCATCTCGGAAGAACCGATTGCCCGTTCTCCCACCCTGCCAGCGCTATCTTGGTGGCAATGAATCCCACCACAAGAATCATCAAAATGACCAGCAACCGCACTACCATCAGAGGCAGCAGCAGCACTGTCTTCAGGTTCTCGTACATTCCCCTCACGGCAGGCGTCTTGTTGAGGAAGGGATCTATGGTAGGCAGTTTACCGAACGATGGCACATCTGAGAAGAGTTCCAGCGCCTTCTGCATTCGCTCGAGATCCCCATCCGCATTCTCTTCGAAAGAATCAGCATCTTTCTCTTTTCGACTCAAGTTTTCCTCCAACTCATCTGAAATTGGGATTGTCACGCACACCTCGTCATTGATGCAATCTCTCCTTTGGACGCTCGCTTGATCCTTACTGCGTGCGTTTATCCCTGCAGACTCAGCTTTCAGACTTTCCTGCTCTCCGTTGTTGTAATGGCCGGCAAGCAGCGGAACCTGAGCGTCGCCCATGTTCGTCCCTCCCTGTCGGCCAAGTCTACTCCAAATAAGAATGTGATGAAGCAGAATTACAGCCAGGGAACTTCCAGGTTCATGACGAGAGAAGACGTATTTCGTTTCTGAGAATTTCTACGCGATAAGATCTATATCTTCCAAGTAAATCCTTGAACAAAGCGTATCGTTCGTCGACCATCGCGTTGGGTAAAGGTGGGTATGATTGCAATCACAAGCTTCGAACCGCGATCAGGCTCAATTCTCGTGGAGTAGCTCGTCCAGAATTTCGACTAACGCGCTACTGTTGCAGATTCGTATGCTGTGTATTCGAACAGCTTAGCACTTACCATGCTACTATCCTACCTACTCTGACGCGTCAGAGTGCCAATTGCGCTACCTTGTATTCTTCGACCCATCCTGCTCGATTCTAAGGCTCAATTCGCTCCACAATCCACAATAGCAGCTGCGTACACCAGAGAACTCAACATCAAATTGATTAATCTCCTCACCCAAGCACAAAAAACAAAGAAGTTTGGTGTCCAATCACAACCACACTGGGCTATCTCCTTCTTCAACCCTCCATGAAAGCTGAGAATGGACATCGACTAAAACGACCAGAGACCAGCAGCAGGAAACAACGCAGCCTCTTTCCAGACCCAATTCATCATCGTCGGGCTGGGTTCGCAGATTCAACTAGCACCGAAGAGCCGGGGCTCACACACCCTTCACCTCCTTCGACCCAACAATGTCAAGCTCGTCATTCAACACCTACTAATACGGTCTCCATTTGGAAACTTGCACTCGAAGCTCGACGACGCTGCCCACGATCCATTGACTTACGTACAGGTCACAATGGCGACCAAACTCTTTCTCTACAGTTTAGCCGTGCAAAGTCCACACGCCGGATTCAGGTTTCCTCTTCGAAGTGACATCGGATAGTGTGCTCCATTGATTCCCTTTCAGAAAAAACAGGGCATCTTGCCCGATTCTCCTTGTATTTGACCCGGAATAAATACGATGGGGTGGACGCCTGGTGGTATTTTGTGGCCGAGCACAACTGTCCCTGCACTCACCTACGAATGGAAGCAGCTTCTTCGTAGGAAAAAATCTGGCGACATCGCAGGGCCTGCGAAGCTGTGATTATTCAATTTCTCCGCAAGTCGACCTAAACATTAGAAATGTTGCGAACTGCAGGTTAATTGAGAGGGCGGGGGTGAACTGCGATGTCTATCATCTGGTCTCATTCGGTGATGCTGTGTGGATGAAAGAGCATGTTGATGCAGAACGTGGGATAAGAAAACTACCACAAAAAGCGATGGAATGTTATCAAAAGTGTGTCCAGTTAGTTTACAAATCAGCTGAAGAGGCCACGAGGATTTTCATTCCGAAGAAGTGTGACGAAACAAAATGATTGTCCACAGTTATTTTCGCAGAATAGTGCTAAATTTGGACTATTTGAGGAGAAGCTTTTCGTGTGGTGACCAACACGCTTGGCCAAGAGACAATATCCTGGGGATGACATATTTCCTCGTCCATCTCCTCACTCTTTTCCTGAAGGATTTGAGTCTTCAGCATCACCCTCCGCAATGACACAGTGCAATTCTCCCGCGAAACGGCCACGCTTCGACCCCATTTCCTGGAATTTACTGCAACGACACTAAGGTACAGTGTTAGCTAGTGTTAGAATGTATCTATCGTAACACCAGATCTCAATCGAGGCTCCGATCACCCATCACAGGAACGATCAGCGACGATGCGCACGGTCACTACACCAGTTGGGTAACGGCGCTGTTCGATCAAGCCCACCGATCAGTGCGATAACTGCGGCGAGCAGCGGATAATGAAACGAGTTTCTCACCTGCAGCTTTGCAGTCAGGCACGAGAAGGACGTGGGCGGGACTGCAGCAAGCGATGCTGAAGCCTGTCGTCGGGTGCAGATGCGCGTGAGGAATGCGACAGCGGGAATATGTGCGGAATCGAAATTGCTACCCTGAATCCAGACAAACAGTGAACACGTTAATATTATTGTTATAATTATTATGAATAATGATATGATAATCGCAAGCGGTGTGTGTTGCCATTTTGCTTTCAGGCTGTGTGGGGCACCGCAGGGGCGAGCGTGTGCTTACGAGCTTGCAGACTTGCGCTGCTTTTAGGTCACTGGATTTTGCTTTCAATCTTTCATGTTCGAAAGGATTTTTTGAGAAGAAATAGAGAGTGTGAAATCTGACTTCTGCATAGAAACGAAGAGTGAATGCATCGCACAGGATGGAATTTTATTGAGTTTGATAGTTGTTTGCAACGGAAACTCAACTTCGTTTGAAACATAACAATATTTCAGGGAGTTTAGGTGGTAAAATGAGAGATGAGTATACTTTCGGTGGTCTATTTCTGGTTGTTTGGTGATCTTACGTCCTCAATGTGATAATTTTTTAGAGAAATTACCTTAGTGGGTGTGCAAAGTTTTGTGAAAGAGAATAAAAAATGGGACAATGCTGAGCGTCACAGGCTTCGAAATGAAGTGGTGGGTAAAGCCAATGTAGCGCTTTATGACTAAGTGGCACTAATGGTTTGTTGGCAATTAAGTGTGTGTACTCAGCAAAGAAACCGATATATCTCGGCAACTCACTTTCCCTATCATCATTTGGAGGGTAAATTGTACTACCACTGTGCTTTCGTATCCTTCGCATTTGTATCCGTTTAGGGATTGAGAAGTGGCAATTTCGGAAGGCAAATGCTCACACTCTCCTTCAGAAGTTGTCACACGTCAATCCAAAAACAATCTCTGTATTAAACCTTGAAACAATGGGTCACTATTCTTATTACCTATCAGTGTTCAATACTGTATCTCCCAAACGTCTTGACACTACAACGATCCATGGAGCTCAAGTTAACACACTTCAAAACACGCTTCACAATGAAACTTCACTTTTCTTCAGCTAAACTGTACCCACTACCTTAATCTGTTCTAATGAAGAAATGTTTGATAGAGTGTTGCAAAATTTCACAAAATGTGTGCACTCGATAGCTCACGAGCGATTAATAATGCGAAGGATTCGCCGTTTGAAGACGCTCATCTGGATCTTACAAACTGGATTTAAAGTGTAGAAGAATCCTCATGCGGACTCTTCAAGCTTCATCTCGACGCTCGTTCCGGAATTCCATGCCAACATGCGCATAAATTTAGATGCGCCAGCTTGGAAAACCGACAGCCCATGTCTCGGCGATTCGTAGGGCAGATCTGGTGGCCACCAATAGCAGCGTTGATTCGAAGGATTGTTGTTGAATGAACTCTGTTTCAATGATGTAATTGTCTCGATTCTGGACCTCGTGCAGATAGTGACCAACGTCAACAGCGTGCACGTCTTCCGATGTCCATCGTTCAGTCTTCTCCTTGTACAACTAGGTCGAGACTTCTCCTTTTCTTTGAATACGGTGCGATCGTCTTCGAAGTCTGCGCACATCGCATACGTCTTCAATGGTAGAGTATTTCTGTGTGATAAGCTCTTTGATGTGGGCCACTTGGGACTCCATGGCATGCGCACTCACTGCATGGGACCCAACCGAGCGAATTTTCTCATCTGAGGGCGAGAATTTCATCACATTTCCGGGGTGACGACCCGATAATTCTATCCTGGCAACACCATCTTCCTCCAACCTCGAAGAAACTCGACACATGAGGTTTGAAAATGTTGCACTACATATTCAACTTTCTGGTCACTGGAAAAATGTTTCGCAAAGATCCGATGGCGCCTCCCTCACACGATCCGTGTATTACACCGAGACAGCGCTGGGAAAAGTTCGACGACTATGTGACGCTGCCCAAGTTGCTTGCATGACTTATCATGCTACTCACACACACAAACAACTCAAACTAAATTGAGGAGTTACAGTTGAGCTGCACACTCCTTCAGATTTTCAACCCTCGCTCATCACCAGTTCGGCGATTGTGCCCAACTCTCCAAAACAGCCACCTTTTTTACATGATTCCCAACACTGCAGGCCTCTTCATGGTGCGGATCTCCACACAATGGTAGCAACAATGCGTCTCTCGCCTAGACATACGCAAATCAGTGATGCTGAAGCAGCGTACATTATTTTCAGCTAAAGCTAAGTGTACGTTACACTTGGATTCATCGTTGCTTCGATCTAGTAGCTCAAATCAACCGCAAATTGCATGTGCTGGATTCCTTGGGCATTATTCTTCAGTATAAGCAGCGGTGGGTGTTGTTTCTCATGGTGTGTGGATGTGGCGTTGTGGGTGCCTTCCTATGGTGGTATGTGGTATTGGTGAAGTTCGAGGGATTTAGGATTTGGAATTTTAGGGTTTTATGTGTGAAGGGTTGTTGGTGGAGTTTTAGAGATTTAGGATTTAGGATTTTAAGTTTTAGGATTTTAGTTGTAAATAGTGTAAGTGAGGAGGTGTTAAAACTTCAGTTGGAAAAGGTTCATACAAGACTTTAGAAATCTATGTAAAATTTCAATTATGCATCAAATTTTTGTTGTTTTATAGAGTTGGTCTTAAAATGTTTGTATATATATATATATATATATATATACCCACTCATATAGGAATATTAGGTCAACTCAAGTGAATCTTTTGTTGGGACATTCATCCTTGCTCTATCATCTTCCTACTTACGATATTATCTAAATCTATGAATACCTGATCTCAGATCTACTTATCTTGGAAAGAAGTAGATCTCATCTTATGTTTTCTCTGTACTTATATGAGTACTCTTAGATGCTTATATTAAGTTTTTTGTATCTCAATAAATTATAGTTTTGTTATTTATTTAAGTTACTTACTTAGTAGATCATTTTTTTTTTTTTTTTTTCCTTCTTACTATATACTATTAAACTTATTTTAGAAACTAACCACTTGATACATTGTTCTTACAGATTGATGAAGTACAATGAGTTCACTTGAGTTTATTTGTTGTAAAAAAAATAATGCTAAGTAGACCTAATAACTACAAGTATTGGACAATTACAATACAAAGTATCTTCAAAGAAGAAGATTTATAGAATCTAATAGAATCCATATCTTCAAGAAACTCAACAACAACAAACTTGAATATTATATTCTAAACCAATATGATTTCAAATACTATGATGGTGTTAAACTAGTGGAAGCATCTGCAAATGACATAATAACAAGTTGTATCAATATTCATACTACATATGAAGAACATTCTCTAAGACCTAAAATCAATAAAATAAGAACCATCAAAAGAGGTAATAGTATATCACATGCTCAACCATTTCTCTTGCCAATTTGAAAACTAGTATCACAGATACTCTGTGAAAAGACTTTGCCACCTTTGCAAGATGTTTGGAATTGTATGTACATGACAAAATCCAATGTTGTATTACAACGAACAAAAGAAATCTAAGATATAGCTCTTATTATGAAGATAAGAAACTTATACAACTAATGTCACTATAGACATCATGAACAATGACATACTTCATCGAGAATGCACTGGAATCACAAAACATCCACTAGACTTCATTTCATATAGAAAAGGCTCATTAAGGTTATCTCATATACCACTCACATAGAAAAGTTGTGGCAAACTTGACCATACATTATGTTTTTTCAGAACACTAGAGCCTTTGCCATATCAACCAAATCTACTAGGAGCCACTTATTATTTATGAAACAACCATAGAAGCTCTGTAATATTAACCAAATTTTTAATAAACTTGATGAAAGAACACATTGATGAGGACTACTTATTAGAAGACTCCATAGATCTACCTAGTAATAAAACCATATTAGAGACGGTAGAATTGCTAGTAGTTACAGAAGTTAAAGGAAAAGAATGGATAATAGATTTTGGTGAATCTAAACGCTTTTTAGAAAATTACTCAATTTTTAAAGAATGTAAACAGATCACAGAGCACATCAATAATATCAATAGGTGGAAAAAGTCATATAATTGCTAGTTAAGGTACAATTGACTTGTCCTTCCCAAATAGAGAAATTAAAACCTTAAGAGATGTTTACTATGTTCTTGGTTTCTATTGTAATATTATGTCTATTGGCCAAATCACTAATATGGGAAACATATGCATCTTCAATCCAACACATTGTAGTATAATATTAATTTAGAAACCATACATGATAGCTGCAAAAAGAATATAAGATCCAAATGATAGATTGTACAAATTAGATTACTTACAACCAAATTTTCAAATAGGTAAGAATGAAAATTTAGCAAATTTGACAGTAGAATACATTCTTGAGTTTGACAATGTAGAATCTTCTTCAAACCAACTCTCTACCCTTTGGCATAAATGGTTAGAAAATATAAATATAAAAACCTTAGCTATTATGAACTCTTAGAGATTAGTCATTGGGCTGTTCAAATTTATAGTTAAAAATATTACATACTCAACTTGTTATAAGGGAAAACAAACTTGTAGTAGAATTTTTTAAAAATTCCAAAGTCATACTATAATTCTTCTAATTCTAGTACACATAGATGTGTGTGATCCTCTACTAATCAGATTTCTAAGACATTCCTATTATTACATTCTATTCACATATTTTTTTAGTCATCAATCATGGATCTAATCCATAGCAACCAAAGATGAATCTTTTGACAAATTCATGTTATGATTGAAAAACAAATACCACATAAAATCCTATATTTTTAATTCAATAGAAGAAGTGAATTCATCTTTCATAAATTCAATCAATATCTAAAAGATAATCGCATCTTGAGGCAATTTAATATTACAAGAATACCATAACAAAATAGAGTGTTAAAAAAAAGAATCACACAATCTTCAACAAAGTTA